CACACACACACACACACACACACACACACACACACACACACACACACACACACAGAGAGTTGACATTGAGACTTGGTGACATTTCGGGCTTCGCCCACTTCAGTGACATTGCGACTTGACATTGTATGAGCAGTAACGTTGGGGATACATGGGAGACTGGGTTCCTCGGGCTATGGTGGCTGATCCTCCCTATCCCCTCCACCGTTCGTCTCTTCTACCCCATTTTTGTCCATGTATGTGTCCAGGCTCCGTGCACCGTTTACGTTTGCTGCGCTGAGCCATTCACACAGTGTGATGATGGTTGCAGTCCGGTCCAGCCATTGTCTATGCTGCGTCAGATCTTGGTATTTCAGTCTTCCACTGTGCTATTTTTGTATTGTCCTTGAGAGACCGGTTCTTGGTTTTTGATCTTTGCCGTTTCAGGCATGCAACACTCATCAGGAGCGTTTGAGAAGAGAGGAGCAAGTCAAGGATTAAGTAGGGGGGAGAGAGAGAGGGGGGAAGCGGGAGGGCAAATGGGAGGGTAGAGGAAGAGGAAGGGTCCATAAAAGAAGAAGAAGCAAATAAGGGTTGCAAAGGGGTCGATAGCCGTAAAGGAACAGAGGTACTGCGGAAGAATGAGTGGGAAGGGGGGCTCATCCAGCGAACGAGAGATCCTTAGCAGAAGGCGCCATTCAGAGCAGTGGTGGCGGCGACAATGAGGAACGCGAAGTCGAGAGTAATGGTTGGTGGGGTCACAATGACACCTATCAGGCGAAGCACGTTATGAGGAAGACGACACGCTGTGATGCCTTCTGTCAGCCAGGCAATCTCAAGCCAGCTATATTGCCGTAGCAATCTGGACCGAGTTGCTTCATGGCTCCCTTCTACGTTTTTATGTTGAGTTTCTAGATGCATACTGCGTCTCTCCCTGACATCCCAATGTAAATTTCCTTCTCCAGGCCTGTAGTACCGTTTACAGACTGATTCAAGGATCAAGTCCTCAGCCTACCGTTGCCAAAACTTCCACAACTCATGAGTTGGCCTATCATCAAGGTAAGCTCAGGTAACTAATAACGATTCACCTAGGTCACGTGTTCAAAGGCTCGGTCTCAAAAATAGCCCCGAGGGGATTAAGGTGAAGTTCTGAAATAGCGGTACCGGGCTCAAATCCAAAGGTCCAAAGAACAGGGAATCGAGAGGGTAAATTGAGAGAGAGAGAGAGAGAGAGAGAGAGAGAGAGAGAGAGAGAGAGAGAGAGAGAGAGAGAGAGAGAGAGAGAGAGAGAGGATAATTCGGCAGCGGAACAAGTAGAGAATGTGGAGGTGGAGGAGAAGTTGGGGGATGAGGAGGAGAAGAAGATGGGGGATGAGGATGATGGGGAGAAGCAGCAGCATGGGAAGGAGGAAATAGATGAGGATTTAAGGGCCGAGCAGGAGGCGGGGGGATGAGCAAGAGATGAGCAGTGCAAGGGATGTGGAGGACAGGGAGTGCAAGCAGTGGCATTGGCTTGACATCATCCTTGTGATCAGTGCCTGGATTGATGATACTGGATTGATGATGCCGCTATAATCTTGATTTCTTACCTGTTGTATACCTAGAGTGCAGGTGTGACAGTTTGGGAAACACAAAATCCTAGTTGTGCGGGTCTTGGCTGCTATTGTGCGTGCACAGAATGTATGTGCTTGGACTGGTCTTGATCTGCCTCCACAGTCACCGGATGGGCTGTGTTGGGGCTGCAGAAACCTGAGTTGTCGTATAGAACTGAGGCCTCAGCACTTGTTTGACCTGAAGGCTCTGAATTGACATGCACAGTACTACTTTCTATTGGTAATTTGGTACCCACCGCCTGAGTCCATGTTGCGATCGATCCCCTTTGCTCTCAGTTCTACGTACTCTTCGGTGGTTTGCCTTTCATGCACATACCGTGTTTCGTTCTTTTCTGCATCTTCCCACACCCACGACTCTGGAGACTCCAGCATCCAGTCTACTCATTCATGCAAAGTATTCCACACCTGAAAATCTGTTTGTTAAAAAACAAAAAAAGCTGGTCCCGTGAAGACCAATACATCCGTTTTGGTCTCTTGGGTGTTGTTATGTGGACGTTCTTTTTTTCGTATGGATACTTCTATCTATACTCTTACTAAAGTGTAAGATGGGTCTCACATGACGCTCCCATGAGGCCCAGATGCCTTGTGTTGGGAAAAGGGCGGGGACAAGGGGTGGGCCCAACAAAAACCTGAGGGCGTGTTTTTCGTTTTCCTTTTGCGCGAGTCACGCCTCGTCGTTTCGTGAGTGTAGGTGGTGGTCTTTTTTCTTTGTCATTTTTGCGTCCTTTCGTGTCTGTAGGTGGCGCTCTTTTTTCTTTGTCGTTTTTGCATCTTTTCGTGTCCGTAGGTGGCGGTCTTTTTTCTTGTCGTTTGCGCTGCCGATTTCCTTTCAGTTCAAGTGGTGTTTTTTCGTTGTCGTTTTCATGCCCGATTTAATTTCAGCTCCAGGCGCTTGAAAGCAGGCCATGTTGTGCCACATGTTTGAATACAGCTACATAGGGCATCGCTCTGCCACTCACGACATGTACAAAAGAGAAAAGGCATGACTGTGTACCGTCTAATGTTGTGGCGGCGGATTCATGTTTCGAACAGGGCCTCGCTTCACTACTTGCCACATGCACAAAAGACAAAAGATATGGCAGTGTATCTTCCCATGTTCTAAAGCAGAAGTTTTTTTTTTCTCTCATATGAATTACACTCGACCTCGCTCCACTATTTGCTTACTAAATATGGTGGTGAATCTGTCCGTATTCCTCTCTAAGATTTGTCCCAATATGATGGTGTATCATCCAATGTTCTAGTGGAATATTCATTTCCCAACTACGCAGGGCCTTGCTCCACTGTTGGCCACTTACCGAATATGGTCATGTATCCACTGGAAGTTTGATCCGATTATAGAGGTGTATGTTTCCATCTTCTAGTGGAGGATTCATTCACGAACTGCACAGGGCCTCGCTCCACTGCTTGCCACACCCACAAAAGACCACAGGGCCACGCTTTGCTACACAAAAGATCACAAATATGGTGGTGTATCTTCCCTGCTCCAGAGGACGCCGAAAGACCTAAAATATGTGTTGTTGGGTGGACGGGAGTACGACGAGTTGGTCGGGTGGGGGGGGAAGGGGGGGGGGGGGAATGGAAGAGAGAAGAGCTAGAGAGTTAAGTTTACAAGCCAAGTTTGCTACACCTCATGCAGAAAATACCCAAACTGTTCCATGGTCGTGGCAAGGAACACACTGTCCCTGATTTTTTTTCCCTTGTGGTTCCCGGCGCGTCTGTGGTGGGCATGCACAAGCAGCACAAGTTTCAATAATGAGAGGTACTAGAAAAAAAAGGGGCACCAGCCAGTGGGGTTACCTCCTAGTCATTTGTGCCGTTGTACAAAATTACTTCTGGAGCGAGTCAATCGGTGATGGCTTGTGTTGGAGTTGGTGGTCTGTCTTCTGTTTGGTGGGTACTTTATCCCCAGGTAGTGTTTCAACTTTCAAGTTTTTATACTGTTTATCTTTTTCATTGCATTTCTGTCCTCTGTTTCTTGCAGGAAAAGCCATCCTACATATTGACTTACAATGACTTATGTTGTGAAGCATCTCAGATGGGGTCAGCCTTACCTGAGTTGTTGAGCGGGGATGAAAGGGCTGTTGCCGAAGATACTCAGAAAAGAACCTACGAGGTGGGAAAGGAGTCAAAGGAGGCTGTTACTTCAATTTCCGACTCATCGAGGGGTGTTTTGGAACAGCCTTCAGCAACTGTGGATACACTGGCTAAGACGGACAGTGATCGGGGTGGTTTGCGGAGAGGCAGAGGGATGAGCAGGGCAAACACTGGACAGGGAGGTGTGGAAAGCAGAGCAGCCGGGAGTTTGGCAGTTGCAATAGAGTTTTTGGGAGATGATAGGGGATTATTCGATGGGAGTGATGAGGATCGGACAAGCTGGGATGCCAACAGGTTTCATGACCAGGCAACAGAGAGAGAGAGTGTAAGCAGTTTGAACACAAGTGTTAGTTCTGCACCTCAACAACAGAGAACTCGGAGAGTTGTGATAAGTAGAGGCGGCTTGTTTGGCGATGATGAACATGTGGAAGGAGATTTTGCGGTAAGGGATTCAGGCAAACTGCCAGTGCACCAGGAAGGCGGGGCTGGTTTTGAAAATCGGTCTGGGTCACATGAGAAGTCTGTGTCTGGTGAGGACAGCAGAGATTTATGGGACACAGGGCACAGGGCCTTGGGCATGGGGATTAATCATTGGAATGATGCAAAGGTGGCTGCTGCCAGTTCGAGAACAATGACGGACAAAGGGTTATTTGATGCTGATGGGAGTGATGCTGATGGAAATGAGGAGGGCAGATATGCTCGCAAGACAGGTCAGGCCGCTTTGTCTGGTTGGCAGTCTGAGATGGATGGCATATCTGGTCAACTGGCTGAACACTCGGCATGGAGAGGTACCGCAGTTGACGTGTCAGAGCCAGTAGGTAGAAAGGATCCACTGTGCTCCACGTCATCCAGTTCTCATAGTTTGGTAGATGCTTCGTTGATTAATGTCGAGTCATTTTCTGATGTTAATGCTTCAAGCAGGCATCGCTCTCAACATCAAGGCTCATTCCAGATGGGTGGGAACATACAARACGTGTTCCCAGAGGGTCAAACTAGGCAAAGTCCATTTGGACAGGACAACGAAGGACTAGATTTGTTCCAGCAACACCAGCTTGAGGAGCCATCGTTCCCGGATGATGAAGTAGCTGGGGTATCGGAGAGAAGTTGCTCCAACACTAGCGCCCGGACGCCGTCGGACCGGCAAGGCCCGGCCTGCCGGCTAGACTAGCGCCTGAGGGGGCAGCTCCTCAACCGCTAGGCCTGTGCGAGCACCCGGTAGACGCCCGTGGCATCCCGATTGCCACGTGGCATCTGCTGTTGATGACGTGGGTATCCCGCGACGCGTGGACAGGTGTAGCACCAGCTGTGAGCCTGATGCAAAAACGTGATTGTGGCGCAGCGTATTAGCTTCAACATTAGCCGTGGCTGCTTTGAGTAGTACATTTATAGCTTCCTTAACGGCAAATCATGCTTCCCCTGCGCATCTGCGGACTGTGGTTTCATTGATTGGGCGGCTGGAGTATTGGCTGGCGGAGAACTGTCGGCTACGACCCGATGCTAGCTTCATGGATTGTTTCACAGATGTAGAGGCCAGAGAGGTGCTACTTGAAGTGACGGAGGAGGCCTTGGAACCGATTGCCTCTTTCATACATGATCATGATCGGTCGCAGCTAGCTGATGGTGTGTGGAGGTGCTGGCTGCTGTTGGCCCAACTCCGGCAACTGCTGAGGGAGAAGTACGTATTATTAGACTCTATGGCGGAACTGGAGCTCCGGGGAGACAGCAATATTCTCCAGGTGGGGATCACTGACGAAACGCCGATAACACCAACATCAACAAGTTCAACAATAACGAGGGTCGATGTCATGGCAGAATCTTGCGGTGCAGCCAGGATATCATCTACCACTATCACATCAATAACTACAACGGCAACCATACCTGTGCAGACCGCAGCAGCATATAACGGCACAGAATCGCCTGGTAGTCCGCCAATATTAAGGACACAACAACAACAACATCAACGTCGACAACAACATTGATGATGTTTCCAATAAACTTTCCAACACCAACAGCTGTTCCTGGGAGGATCGTGGCATCATCCTGTAACGCGGGAAAACCTGGCGATCATCGACTTCAGCCACAGTGGAGGGTGTGGCATGAGTTGTTAGAGCCAATGAAGGAATCAGAGTGGGGAGGGAGCGATTTTCTCCATGGGGTCGCTGAAGATGATCTGCAGGCGGCTGAGGTTCATGTAAAGAGAACTATCACTGCATTGATGACAACAATCCCAACACTGACCACAAGAACAACCCCAACAATGACGCTGCCGTCGCCGACAACAGATGGGACCGATCGCACGGGTTTGCCGGGTTTGTTGGCGGTGAGGCTTTTGTGGCCCCCTCCTTGTCCCTCTGTTTTTTCGCAAGAGGTCCGGGGTTTTCACAGACTGGTTTCTTTTTTGGGATGTGCGCTGTCGTCCTTGCCTCCTGCGCCTATATGGCTTTGCTCAGTGTGCACCTCTTACGTTGGTGAGTGCTCTTCTCCCGTCATGCTTTCGAGGCGAGAAGGGGTGGGGTAGCTAGGGAGGGCGTCACTGAGGAGGTTATGTAATGGGGAGTGTGTTGAAGTGCGTCTCAATCTTCATTTCGATTGGATCTGATCTGTTTTCTTCTGATCTGATTAGCCTAGATTTGGTTTGATTTGAACTGATTCTTGGGGCATCTGCAATGATTGGACTGAGGAAAATGGTCACGGAGGTGGACAATCGGGCAGAGTGTTTAATTTTTCTCCTCCCCGGTTACTGAGCATGGACGTAATTCGATTGGATTTGAAAATTTTTTACTCGACTGGCCTCAGGCATAGTCGGTCTGACTTGTAGAGGTGCTATAGATTTCATGAGGTCTCTCCCACTGGTTAATAGGGATTCCACCATGTGGCAGGGGAGGGGTAGAATCTCATTTCCAGTAGGTACGGACTGTCGTTCGTGGTCTCCTCTGCATGCCAGGATGGCGAGGTTATGACCTACTCAAACGTCCAAACTAATGGGCAGTAAATCCCTCGTGTGAGGGCAATCAATGCTGCCCACCGTGCCCACAAACAATTGGCTCCATTCCGTATCTTTTTGTAAATGGGATGCTGAACCCGGTTTCCAGCAGGTGTAGCTCCCCACCAATAGATTGGAGCCATCTAATCTGGAGGCCTACTATTGGCGGACGCTCTTATCGTCTCCAATAATAGGTCTCCAAAGAGGGAAAGGAGGGAGGCGAAGTGACAAAGTTGTCGCGGTGTGGGCTCTTATTATGTACTAATGGTCCTGTCCATTGGCAAAGCCAAGGAAATGCTGGGAAAGAAGATGGAAATGAACAAGAAAATGGGAGGATAAGAGAAGATGAAAATGATGTCTCTGTGAGTGATGATTCACAAGAGGGGGAGGAGGATGACACAGTGGTTTTGAGTGTTCGTAAGCTGTCTACAGCTATCCAGGACGCGTCTAAGAATGCACCAAGAGTGAGAGTTGTGGCAGGCATTTCCCAACAAGCGAGAGTGTGCATTGGCAGACTCAGAAACTACGGATGTGGCACTTGATATGAGAAACGTTGGCAACTTCAGAGCAGGAGAGAGCAACAGCGGCTTGTCTGCGCCCCTAGGTACTGCCACCGACCTGAAGTTTGGCGAATCGCGTCTTGGTGAGGTGCGAGTGATGCAGCTTTGGCCAGAGCTGGCGATGGCCAGAGGAGTGGAATCTAGTTCCCCAAATTCCTCACACACTGCAGAAATTTTATTGCGTTCTGAGAGGACTCCTTGTGCAAAACTTGGCACGGAAATAGAGGGGGTTGGGAAGGGGCCATCCCCTGCGGATTGAGCAAACCAAGGGGAAGGAGAGGGTGGAGAAAAGGGTGCAGGAGTGGAGGTGGTTGGGACTCTTGGGAGAGAGCCATCCCCCGCAGATGGGGTAGCCATCCCCTGCAGATGGGGTAAGTCAGATACAAGGGGAGAAGACTCAGGTTGTTGACAGCAAAAGTGTACTGCTTACAACAGATATGCTGCCATCAAGCGAGGATGATGAAGGCTTTTCTGGCTTGTCAGGAGCGACTGGGATGAGAGTTTCAGACACAGAGAAGGAAACTGGAGCAAATATAAAGATGGTGTGATGGGGCTCTATCACCATCATCATGGTGAAGAGTAGGGTAACATTCCGAACGTGGGAGGCTTTTATCAGGTGTGAACGTGATAGAAAACTCAGAAGAGAAAGCTCGCCAAATCCAGGAGGGAGACGAAATGGAGCAAATTGAACATGGGGCTTGTGGTGGGAACCCAGACAACACCCCGCACACTGAGCAAGGCATTCCAAAGAAGCCAGAGGGATTGGAGGTATATTTCATTCCGTGCGACTTTCGAGGCTACAGATCGTTTCATCTGCATTCAGTTGCTGATTGATTCTAAATCTGGGGTCAATTTTTATTTTGTTATTTTTTCTGGTGTCAAAAATCTCTCTCGAGTCTCTACTAGTGATGGTGCAAATTTATTCCTGTGTGCTCAAAGGCAAGGTAGGGGAAGCTATCTCTCGCTACTGATGTGCATAGTAGCACACTCAATTGTGGCTAGTTCACTTGCAAATTAAATTTGTCTGGCCACTTGTAATGAACCCAGTCTTGTCGGAAAGCCAATCAGCAATGTGCAATGAAAGTCTGAACCCTGTGTGACTCATGAAGTCTGCAATCGTCAATTACAAGTCCAAGTCTCGATCAAATGCATAATTTAAGAGTATTTTCCCATCAAAGAAGAGCATGAGAGAACAGCAAGGGGAGAGATGAGACAGAGAAGAGGAGGAGAAGAGTATCAATGATAATCAATAGCACATGTATGTCTTCCTCTCTCCACTCCCACTTCGGGCTTCTCCCCTAACACCACCTCAGCAGTGCATGTTCCCTCTCACGTCCTCTGACAATTTTTTTGTGCAGATCAACAGTGCTTCTTCCTGACTCCACCAAAATTAGTGCCTCTCTTGTTAGCCACCACAACAGTGATGTCACCCTTCCCGACTCACTGCTGTTACTTGTTCCACCCTCGCATTCCTCAAGGGGTCATCTCTCCATTGTCTCATATCGAAAACGACCAGGAGGTGGTGGTTCTGTCGTTGTTGTTTCCTCAAGGTTTTATTACCTGCCCCATTTGATTGAACCCCCCTCATAACTTTGGCAAACGTACCTTTGACCTGGGCGGTCATTTACCCTCTTTCCAGAGCAAGGTACCTGAACTGGCGTGGCCATTGATGTGCTGATGTGAGCCACTGACGTGCTGATGTGGCACGTCTCAGCTTGTGGCCACTGATGTGCTGACGTGGCACGTCTCAGCTTGTGGCCACTGACGTGCTGACGTGGCCATTGACGTGCTGATTTGGCACATCTGAGCTGACGTGGCCATTGAAGTACAGGCTGGTGCAGAGAAGGCTTCCACGCATGGGAACCAGGGCCCTGTACAGTTAAGGCCCTGGGTGTGTGCTTTCAGAGGCCGACACATCATGCAACAGCCATGGACCAATGACATTGCAGCATTGTTGGCACAAAGTGGCCGTGAGCCAATGAGATCACAGCAAACATGTGGAGGCCCGTGGACCGCCTGGACGTGCCCAACTGTAACGGGCCCAGGCCTGTAACTGCAACTGGGCCTCCACGCAGGCACTGAGGCCGGACTGGAAGGTACTGGATGCTTGCCCAGCCAGGCCCAAAGGCAGCAGAGGATGAGCTCACTTTCCATATAGGAAAGTGAGCATCACTGGGCAGGTCATTCTGACCTAGGCAGGCAATGCAGCCATGCTGCTGCATTGCACCTTCGTGATCTGCACGAAGCTGCCGGCTGGGTCGCGCACACGGGCGCTGAGGTGTGAGGTGCACCGCTGGGCAGTGGGCGCACGGCAGCCAAAGTCGGGCTGCTGGGCGCAGGTCTGGATGGCGATGGTAGTCTTTGGGTGTTGAGAATGCACACTGTGGGAAGTCAGGGGTGATGAGGAGAGACGAGATACATACCTGGTGCATGAGGGAGGTCAGCTATGGTGTTGACGTCATGTACATTGGTCTTCAAAGTGGAAGTGAGCCTGTTGCGTGAACGCTGGTGTAGTAGGATAGGCGAGTAGTGTAGGCTGGGCGCTGGGCACCAGACAGTAGGAGCGACATTGGATACGGTGTTGGTGTGGGCTGAGGGCTTGGACATTGGCTCGTAAGTTCGTTGTATTGCTCTTATCTGGATGGAATCTCGGCGCATTTGCACTCTCTGCACGTACATGACTACTTCGACATCTGTGTGATTTCGCAACTTGGTTTTCTGTATATCGCTCTTGCGCATATTCCTTGCAATTTGGTTTTGGAGCTGGTTTGGATATCGCCGTTCTGGCGCTGGTGTCTTGGTTACTTGGTGCGTGGACGAAGCTTCTATGCAGTGAGGATACCTTGGCGCTGGTTTGATTAGCCCCACCCAGGTAGAGGGGTGAGGGGCTGGAGGGCTGTGGCGATAGCGAATGTGTGCGGAATGATGAGAGCATGATGACATGGCATTTTGGCGGAGGTGGCACGACATTGTGTTGTTGGTGGTACCAAGGCTATGACTGGTCATCAAAATGTACATTGGCTCGATTGGTGAGAAATCTGTGGTTGGGGGCAGCTATCTCCAGGTACGTTGTTCCCTTACCTTATCTTCCCTCTCAATACCGCGAGGAAGTGAGTCCAACCTTGAGTGTCCTCTCTTTTGTGTAAGGAGTCGTGAGCGCTCTACCTTGAGAGATGGCGTTCTTCCCGGTGGCGCATCTGGCAGGAGAGGGCTGTGCCTTTGAAGGGCCCTGGTCGAAGCACGGGTCACGGTCACCATGCCAACCCATGGGAGTAGTACACGCAGGGCATGCTGCGCTGATAGAGGGATTTGCGGACTGACCAGTCCTATGCATACGCTTACCAGACCGTCTATAAATATTTCTGGCAGGGATCTGAACTGTATTCTGGCTGTGATCGTCGTCCTGTCTGCGACGTTAAATAATTCTTGAGGACCTTGGGGGCTGTCCTTAAACGGCCTCTTGATCAGCCAGATCAGGCAGACGTAAGGCTCGTTGCACGTGAGGATAAATAAAGGGCAGTGCTGGTCATAAGCGAGTTCCTGGGCACAGGGGTGGGCCGCTAGTGCACACCTTAGACACCGCTGCTTGATGATGCTCATCAGTTCGTTGGATACAGGGGAAGGAAAGTTCCAGTTGGTGCTCGAAGATTATTATTATTATTATTATTTCCATTTCCACATGTATCCGCGCAAATGATTTATTTTATTTTGATTAGTGGAGGTGTGACAGACTGCTAACACCTGATAGACAGCTCTAGACCAGAACTGAAGTAGTATACCATTGCCAGTTCTATTTACTGCTGCTGTTGGAGAACTAGACTATAAGTTAGATCGTTTGCATGAGTCTGTATATTTTCGGTTAACACCGCCTGAACTGCATTCTGAAATATGGACCGAATAATTATTTTATTATGTTTATTGTACAAATCGGTCAGACCCTATGCTGTGGTAGGCTCCAGCGAGGACACTAGTGCAGACAGTGGTCTGCTATAGCTGATGTGGGAGTGTAGCAGTGAGTAGGAGGGAGTTGACTAATAGAGGCTGACATGGCGCAGAGCCTTTAGGAAGGTTGCCGTGTAGGTGGTCTGTTGACGTCACTGAAAGCAGTGTGTAGTGTTGGGTCTAAAAGGCAGCAGCAGCAGCGGAGCAAGAGTTAGTAAACGCTGCCGCAGCAGCAGTGGCATAAGGATCCAGCAGACGAGCCATGCAGGCTGATGCACTATCTGCTCAAGTAGGTGTTAGTCAGATAACAGTCTCAAGTCATATGGCGAGCTCGCAGTTCAGCGAGCCGCTCCAGCTCACGCTAGTCTACCTGGACATTCAGGAGGCATTGGACATTCCTATTCAATTAGAAGCCGAGGTCAGAGACGCAGAGGACAGGAAGCACAGGACAGGAAGCACAGGACAGGAAGCACAGGACAGGAAGCAGAGGATTAGAGATAGGGCCATATTAGTTAGTGAAGAAGACAATGACAAAGTTAGGTTAGAGGGATCGGAAGGAAATGGACTAGGATTAGAGATAGGGCCATATTAGTTAGTGAAGAAGGCAATGACAAAGTTAGGTTAGAGGGATCGGAAGGAAATGGACTCAATAACGCAGAGCAGGATCTGCGGGCATGCGAAATAGGCATGCAAGAGTCACTGTCCATGCGAGAAAGTATGGACACTTCTCTCCTTTCCAGCCAGGTTCAGATACAGAGGGTGGACAATAGAAATGGACAAAATGGTAGTCCTTAACTGCGCCGCTCAGTGTCCGGACTGAAAGGCAACCTTTACTTGTCTCATCGTCGGCGACTGGAATGTCGTTGGTGTCAGGTCTTTCTCTAGCTAGACTTGGTACTAGTCTGTCAGGCGGACAGTTAGCTGTAGACATGCAGGCTCGGTATGCTTCTTTTTCTTCCCTTCAGACGACTGTTTCTATAGAACAGCCGCATATACCCCAACCTGCACAGCAAGCGGCAGTGCAGATTGATGGTAGGACCGAATGGGTTCCGGATGCGGCATTAGCACAGGCGGAGTCTGCTACAAGAGTAGGAAAGACAAAGCCCTCGACGCACATTAGGAACAGAAATGGATGTCAAAGGAAGTAGGTGATCGCTGCCAGCACGGTGGTTAGAAGGGTTAGTACAGCAAAATGGGAAAGACCGGGGCCTTGATTATTGGACTGAGGTCTGGTGTCCTAGGCTACGGGTCCTAGGGATGTTGTATGGGACCTTTGATCTCATGATTACTCCATAAGGACCACCGGAATTGCGTACGGATACCGTTTCCTATATAGGTCGGTCTTAGGCATAAAGGATAAGCTTAAGAACACAAGTTAGATTCCAATCAAAGGAAGGAAGAACAAGCTACCCCAGGATCGAAAACCTAAAGGGGATTACTCTATATAGTTTCGGAAAGAAATCAGGAAGGGGTAGAGGGAGTTCATGATCCTGGGGGGGATAGACAGAGTGGTCGGCGATTAGAAGACTTCCGAGGGAGAAGTGTTGGTCGTCTTAAGATAAGGCTAAGGCGACTGATTTGCAGTAGGTTAATTAGTCTGGGAGCCAACAAGAAGACTCTTCTTTACCAGTAGGAATAAGTAGAATCTTGTTGTGGGAAACTAACCCGTGAGGAACGTTTGCGAAGGTGTGGCCTGTACGGTTGTACCAAGGGGTAGGGTTCAAACGAGTTGGTCATCGTGAGGGTGCGTCCTCAGGCACTCGCAACCTGGGAAAGCACTGCGAGCAGTTCCCAGGGTAAACACATCGGGTGCAAAGAAGGTGTAACCGCTTTTGCGCAGTGTGAGATGGTTGAAGATCCCTCACCATCTCAAAGGTAGCCTGAGGTTACTGACTCCTTAGTCACCCCACAGGCACATCTAGACCACATGATGTTTTGTTCATGTGATGCGTCTGAGTCCTTAGAGGAGCTTGCTGGAACGGTCTATGAAAGACCTGTTAGCTGCTTGGGTGACCATAATTGAGGTCCTGAGGATTGGTAGAAGTCAATGTTAAACAGCCTTAACCTGATAGGGCTCTTGCAGACAATGACTCTACCTGGGACTACACGTGTCG